TTTCACTGACCACTCTCTCAGTGGTAAAATTACATAACCCAGAAGGAAAGACAGCTGGATCTTCATGAGCTAAAAAGGCTATGCAACTCAAAACATTTTCACTAGAGGAACTAGTTTTTTCTGACTCAGATGTAGAAATAATTATTAGTCTACTATGAGCCAGACAGTCTTATTTAATGAAGCATCAGTTTAGTTGGGATAAGACCTACCTAATAATGGTCTATAAAACTTGAAGGTTATATACCCTGAGCGTTTCTCTCCCCCGTAACAATAGATCATCTTTCTAAAAGTATGGATATCTATTTAGACTAAATGGCTCCTCTGAATCTCTATCGCCATTAATATTTTCTAGGCCAAAAGAATCACGTTAAGTAAAAGGGACCTTTTGTCCCAGTAAAACTGGGATGATCCCAGTTTTTTGTGTCATGTTCCAGTATGCAGGAACTTCTTTTAGGAATTTTGCTATGTTTCAATTTTTTAATTTCAATCATTATAGAAAGATTAGATAATAACTACAAAAATGTTTGTTGAATCATACTGTGACGTGTTACCCCAAGTAGAACTTGTTCTGTGTTTACCAGGGGCAACCAGGCCAGCAGAAGGAGTAGTTAGTATGATGAACAGTGTGTGGAGAGAAAAGAAGAGTCAGAGGAGTGGAGACAGTAACAAGGTTGTTCTTCTGCACGGAGTGAACACCAACGAGACTTGTTCATCATTTCATGACAACTCATTCAGAATACTAAGGACTGAAAAAAAATCCTCCACACCGAGAAATGTGCACATGCTCCTTTTGAGTAAGAAGCTGGCAGTAACGACAACAGCATGCACTTTTTAAAAAGTCTTTTGTATAATTATTCTGTAACCTCATTTTTTTTTAAATGGGAGCACATTAAAGCGCACGACAGAACTTTTAGTGTATAACAGCAGGCTTCACACGGCAAGTTAGTGCTCAGCAAGCTAACGCGCTGTAGAGTCACACTCTAGCCTGCCATGTAGACACTCCCTGAGTCTCTCTGTCTCAGTTCCCCATCTATAAAAAAAAATTGAGACAATCGTTTCCTATCTCACAGGACCAAATAAATATCTCATATAAATAGCTAAGAAAAAAATTTCATGGGAAAGAAAAAAAATAACCAAAAAGAAGTGCCTCTTTGTGAGCACTGAAACCCCTGTGCAGAAATGTGGCAGGTCTGACAAGAGAGGACAGATGAGGACTGCCCAGCCAATGGAACTATGTGCAGAAAAAGTAACAGAAGAGAAGCTAGTCCAAGCAAAGGCCAAGGATGGCTGTTGTCTGTGATCTCTTCCTAATGACCACTACAGGCTGAATGCACTGTATATGCTTTTCCAGCTCGACTACTGTCCCAGCAAAACAGTAATAGCTAAAATTCCTGTGGGAGAAGAATCAATTAGAGGTTAGTGTCTTTCGGCCGAAGTCATCATCCCTTGTGTTTTTTCGCTAAGGTAACTCTAGGAACAAATTTGCCTCCTATCTTTTAAGAAAAGAAAATAAGATTTGTTGAAGAAATACAAACACAATCTGATCCTTAGAAGTATAAACAAGTATATGGTTTCTTCCCCATGCCCCCCGTTGGGAAAGAGCAAGTCACCTTTACCTCAATATAATAGTTCTCCCATATGTGCAAACATCCTCCAGTTTCTTCACTGCTAGCTGCTTGATTTAAAAGCGACTTTATTCACAGATCAAAGGATTTCACATGGTGACGGATTATACTCAAGTGTTAATTAGCTTAATTTAACAGATATGGATTCCTTGATTTGGAATTTACTATTACAATCTGCCTTTCCGTCCACTTACCAGGATAACAGGATGAATTGCACTGCACTGCTGATACACTGTCTTTTGTAGCAATACTAATAATGTCCTTTGTTAAGCCCTGAAAACCTGGAATTGGTGCAGGAAGATAACTTGTGGAATAAGATGTTGTCGCCGTCATTAGAACAGTGAACAGAACCCCATTGCTTTTCCATGGACGTCTCATGAATGGACACTTGGTTTTGAGCTACAAATGTTACATGCTGGTCACCACCAGGGAAATAGGCCACATGTCACTCACTGCGAGGGAAACACTTGCAGTATTTACTCATTGTATTACTGCAGTGTCCAGACACTCTGTTTAGGAGCAGGGCTTGCAGCACTAGACACTGTACACACATTGTACTCTTTTGCTCTCATAAGCTAACAGTCTCGTTGGCAGAGCTTGTGAGACTGAACACTTGTCTTGATGGCATTTTTCTGTCTGTTTGGACGTAACCTATTAACTTTTGAACACCGCATCCGGTTGATTTCAGGGAATGTTCTAGGCATTAATGGGCAGAACCCTACTGATTTGGGGGGGGAGGGGGAATCAGAAAACTGGAAGGGGGACAATGGGAGACACACACAGCCCCTGCCATCTGTTTAGCAGAGCCACAGCTTCAGGAACCTCTGCAGTTTTCTTAAAAATCAAAGAACTCGTTGACAGCTAACACCGTCCAGCATAACACTAGCGCATCTCAACTCTGCTCAGCCACCCAATACAATTTAACATTTTGACCCGGTGAATTACTTTTCTCACAGACATAAAGAAGAGAAATAATAATGGAGGGGATGTGGAGGCATACAGATCCCTGACAGGGGGTGGAGAATTAGGAACCGTGGTATAGGATGGAAAGGGGTATACACAGAGTCCCTGGCATGGGGGAAATAGGGGACCCAGGTATGAAGGGAGGAGAAATGTTGGGTGCACAGAACCCCTCACAGGGTGAAATTGGGGGACACTGGTGTGGGGGGAGGGCAGAATAGAAGTGCACACAGAGACCCTGGCAAGGGGGAGAGCAAGGGAAATGGGGATTAGCACATGGATGGGAGAATGGGGAACCCTGGGATGGGGGAAGTGGAGAATAGGGAGCACACAGAGCCCCTGGATGAGATAGCAGAGTTGGAGGGTCGCAGGAAATCCCTGGAATGGAAGACGATGGGAGAGTGGCAAACAGGAAGGTTGTAGGGGGGGAATTGATGCCCAGGTGTGTCAATGAACTTGGCTTGCAGAAGTTGCAAAGTGGGTGACACTCTAGTTTAAGACGAGAGATAATTATTGTTTTGATTTTTTTTAAAAAGCACCCATCACCTTGTGTCCAGCCATCAGTTATTAAAACCACCCAAAATTCGTTGGTTAGTTGTTGCATTATGGAGCTTGTATTACAAGCTCTGTACTGCACCTTTCAATATAGAGAGAGATCTGTTCAGAGAAGCTGCCATTTTGTGCTCAGAAGAGCTATCTAGACGGTGTGCTCTCTGAGGGCATGTCTACACTACGGTGGTTACAGCAGCACAACTGCAGCTATGCCACTGTAGCACGTAGCGTAGCCACCTCCTACATAGACAGAAGGGGTAATCTGCCTCCCCAAGGTGGCCACAGCTAGATGGAAGGAGAATCCGAAGGGAGCACTGTCACAGGAATCAACATAGGCTCCCCTTCAAGAAAGTAAAGCTTACTGGAAGCCTGGCTCAGCAAATGAGCTAATCTTTACTACAAATCCCCATCTCTTTTCACACACTCACACTTACTGCCTCAGTAACTGTATGACACAGAGTATCAAGAGTATCCAGGCTAAGTGGGGCCTGCAGCCACCAAAGTTTCAGACCTCCCCCCTCTAAACTTTTGTTCCTCCTGTGCAGGCTCCTCCCCCGTTCCGAGGCCAATCCAACCTCTCATTCATTCTCCCAGCTGCCACAGAATGGGCTTCTCTCTTGCGTCATTGATATTCTTCCATTAAGGCAGCCCTTCTTAGCCCAGTGGGCATATGGGCAGCGGCGGCTCCAGGCACCAGCGCTCCAAGCGCGTGTCTGGGTCGGCAAGCCACGGGGGGGTACCCTGCCGGTCCCTGCGAGGGCGGCAGTCAGGCAGCCTTCGGCGGCTTGCCTGCGGGAGGTCCGCCGGTCCCTCAGATTCGGCGGCGGGTACGCCGAATCTGCGGGACCCGGGGACTTTCCGCACGCATGCCGCCAAAGGCACCCTGCTTGCCGTGCCTGGGGCAGCAAAAAAGCTAGAGCCGCCCCTGCATATGGGCAGCAGCAATGAACTGTGTGTTACACTGTCACCTGCTGCTCTGCATATAGAAACCCATTCTCTGTGGTGCCCAGAATCCTCCACTATTTGATCCTGGTTACCCATTACCTGGTAACAATGCTCCCCTGTTACCTAATGATGGGGCTGTAGGGATCAAAGGTCATCCTCCATTCCCAGCAGGCTGGGTTTTGGACCGCTGAGAGTCCAAAATAGACTGTGGCTGGCTGCAGCTTGCAGCACGTTCTCATTGTTGTGTGATGTAATGTTAAATAAAAATAATTTAGCTGTTATATGCAAGCTTTAAAAGGACAACATAGGAGACATTTGAAAACTGAAATGTTGTGCCCTGCATGAACTCCCAGCTTTCACTGCACAGACCGATGTCATTAACCCTGGCAAAATCTCTAAATAGGTACCCCTAGCACCTGACACTTTCCATAGCCTGGGCTTCATAGAGACTTTCTCCCAACTCCTAGGAATTATGTGTTTTTTAAATTTCATCCATGCTATGTAAAATTTACTCACTAGATCAGGAACAATTCTGAGGACTGTTGTACATCAACTATTACTAAGAGGAGCACTAACAAGTTATGACCACCGACCAACAGGTTACCAGGCCTGAGAAATATCAGACTAAGATACTTGGGTTTTCAAAAGAAGTTTACTGATCTCTCTGGCTCTGACCTAAGCTCAGATCAGTCTGACAGTTTGTTTGAAAGAAACATGCAAAGAAATGCCCCCCACTTGTTTCTCCCCTCTACTTACTTCACCAAAGGTAACATATTGCAATAGGTCACCAGTACAGGTCAGATTTTAAGCATCCAGCTGCTAAACCAAGCTTAGCAAATAAATAATATGTTTATGATGATGACTAGAACAGATTTTCCTGCTCTGAGAAAGCCAACAAAAAACATTACCCAAAACAAGTTTTGGGTAATCAAATAACAGCTCAGGTGAAAGTCTTAATCCACCCGTGAGCACTGGGACTCTCACAAATGGAACATCTGTCTACTGTTGCTGGGCCATCCTCCTGGGCACTCTCCATCATTCTCACCTCCGGTTAAATTTTTCACTGGTGATAGATACAGCTGCACCTCTGGACCAAACAGCAAAAACAGATAGCTGATGAGATCTTTACATGCATTAGTGAGCAGTTAGTTACTCATACAAGCAGTCCCAATGACTTCAGTGGAACTGCTCATTAAAGTAAGGGCTCATAATTTTGCCCAGAGTGAATTTCTGAATTTTTTAGACATACTTCATATTGACATACAATCTCTTAGCTTCTTTCTGTTTCTCTATCACATAAATATATATATGTTTGCACATGCATGGGTAAGTAAGAAAAAAGACAAACTAATTTTTAACATATATCCACACGCATGTGTGTTTATGTGCACGTGTGTATTTATAAAATTTGGGTTGTTTTTCTTCTGTATAAACACACAAATGTAAAATAGAAAGAGAGAGAGAGAGAGAGAGAGAGAGGAACAAAGAAATTAAGCATTTGTGCGAGATGTTTTAAAATAAGTCATCAGTATGGAATATAAGGTAAAGTATGAAACATTCATAAATTCCTGATGTGACAATACGGTCTGGAGAAAGGTGCTCAGGACGAGGAGTCTGGAACTTGAATTTAGTCCCAGCTCTGTCACTACTCCGATAAGTCACTTTACTCATCTGCATATCAGGTTTCTCCAACCTATAAAAATACTTTATGGTGTTGAGAATATTCTCAATGACAGATAGCCTCTCCACCCATTCGTGCTTTTAGAAGAATCCCTGGAGGCAAAGTGAACAAGAACGTGGAAGTCAGACAGACACTTTATTTAGTTTATTATCAATTCAATAATTAATGCTCTTTGCTCCCATCTAGTGGTGATGTTCTGACATTAACCTCCACAATGCCAGAGATTTCAAGCTATTTTTTCTCCGATTTAACTTTATTTTGTTAGACTATTTTGGGGTTGGGGAGGAGGGGGGCAATTTGGAATGGCAGCTGGGGTTGTTTATTTGTTTTAAACTAATTGAAACTACAGGTAACTAGCTGATCCCAATTGCAAAAGCTTCCACTCTCCCTGCTCACTGGGTTTCATTGCCCAGGCTCTAGGCCCAGCCTGAACATCTACACTGCTATTTTTAGCCCTATACAACTAGCCTGAGTCAGTTGACCCAGGCTGTGAGAATCGCTGCTGCGGGTCTTTCTTTGCAGTGTAAACGTACCCTGAGTTTCCAGATGGCCTGTACAAAATAAAAACTCCACAAAGTACTCAATGCGAGGGAAATTCACCTCCATTCACAGGGCTCACACAACAACTACTTTAGTCCCTTTTTAAGAGGATCACATTATGTTCATGCCAAGTACAATGCAGTGAAGAGAAATAATACATTTCTATGCCACACAGACCCATGCTAGATTGTTACGGTTGGTTAAAATGGCAGAAGTAGTTAACATTGCACGGGGAATTCACCCCAAGGAGAAAGGGCCCACACACAGTACTATGCACCAATTAGTTCCCCTGGAAAAAGCTGGGTGAGCTAATGAGCCAATTAGCCCATCCATTTGATAAAGAGGAACAGGAAGGAAGCACCAAGGGGATAGAGGAAGAGGGCTAGCTGAGCCCTGCCTCACAGAGGCCTCAGGGAAGGGAGACCTCTGCTCCTCTCAGGTCCTGAGGAGAGGGCCGAAAGCACAGAGGATACTGTAAATAGTGCTGTTGCATGGGACTGCGAAGGTGTTGGTTAGGGAACGCAAAGACGTGGCATGGTGGAAATGCTACTAGTAGAGTCTGAGCCAGTTTCTGTGGTGTGAAAAGGCAGGAGCAGAACCCGCCCTGCTACAGATGGGTTTTGAGGATTTATTTCAAAAATAACTGTTTGTTTTTTATATCATGGTGCATTAAAATGCTACTCTATAAAGAATGCCTAGCTATTGGAGCCCACTATACCACTGACATATGGTCAATTTATGATGGCTCTGCCAGGGGAAAGTGGCTGTAAAGCCTTCATAAAGGCAGCTGGGTGCCAATTAGGGAGCTCCTGTGGCTGCTCCAACCTGTGTTATGCATTAAACTATCCCCTGATAATAGCCCCAGCATAGGGAAGACATAATGGTGAAGTAAAGTCACCTTGGCCCCCACCCCTTACTCCCTACACTGAGCCCTGTTCTGGTCAGGAATGAATTTGGCCTTAGCTCAGGTATAACATTTAGAAGTTAATTTATTATGCCAAACTGCTATCAAAACATTTTCAAATAATTATCACAAGTGAGGAAATATAGCACTATGCATTAGAGATTCCCAAATATTGTAGCTTCATTTTAAATCCATCTGTGTGCTCAGTCCCTTAGTTATGAAAGCTATAAGACACAAGTAGATATGGTTGAAACCTTTGAGGGGGTTTGGTAGGGAGAAGATTCTGACAATTCCAGACCATCAAATAAAAATATATTTAAAATCTGTTAACACTTCCACTCATAGCCTTATTACAGATTTAGCAGGTAATGCAACGTATTAGTGTCACCACTTTGCGATGAGAAATGGTAAGAGGAACGCACTTTGCCTTATAGTGGCTATAAAAACAAATCTGTGACCAGCCATTGGATGTCACCCTTGCTTCACACAAGTGCAGCTTAAAAACCATGTACTAGGTACTACAGTCCATCAGCCACAGTACCAGCATTTCAGATCAGTTGTTTCTCATTAAAATTCAAACAATCTTACACTTTCTCCTCTCCTGATTGCACATGTGGTCAGCAGAGCTACAAAGATTTTGCCAGCTAGGAAGAGGAAGTCTTGTTTTGATCCACCAAGAGTTGGCAAGACCTGCTACAGGAAATCCTATTAAGGATTACAAAGAAAACACTTATTCTACACATGAGCATTCAAGGAGATTTCCCCCAGTGAAATTGTTTAGGTTCCATCCACTGGCACTCTAATGCAGACAAGTCATTTTTGTATGCAGCAGTTAAAATCTTTATGTTCAGACCTGCATATTTATTTCTATGCTGTACCTTATAATCTGAAAGTGTTTCCCAGGCATCACTGATTAAGCTTCAGGATATTACTGTGAAGTAGGTATGATAAGGTTGTTGCCTGCCCAGAACTGGGCCCCGAGATGGCAAACAGGGGTTCGTTGCCCGGTGTGCTTGGCACCAATAAAGACACCGAGGGGAGAAAGCAAGCCAAGTTTATTTCAGAGCTCTGAAATGGCACTAGGAGACCAGCATGTCTCAAATCAAGTGCAGCACATACAAATAAAATTTTCCCTTTTATATTCCAAGCTGTTTCTGTGTAAGCCTTTGTTCTGTTACTCCCTCTTACCCCTCCCACCCCTCCCTTCTGTAGCAGTTACAATTAGAAAAGTTCCCATTCTTCTGCTTATCTCTTGGCCTTGCAAGGCCTGTTTACAGCAGCTGCCTGCTAGAAAAGCTGACCCTTACATTTCTGCTTCAGCATGTAAGCAGTTAACATAGAAGTAGGTGAGAGTTCACAAGGTGGGAGTCACTGTGGTTCAGGTAGGCCCAGAGCAGAAGAGCTTCATCGGCACTTTTGGCCTTCCACTCTCCCGAGTTACCTGGTAGCTATGCCTAGTGACACCAACAAGGTTATCAGATGGGGGAACTATGGCATAATGTCAGAGACAGGACTAGATCCCTGGTTTTTACTTAAACTCTTGCGCCCTAACCACAACAATTGCCATGTAGTTGCAGGCTAGCTTCCCAAATATGGAGATTCTAGAGAGTGAAGATGTGAGTGTTGACTTTACCAAGGAAAATGCCTGGTCATTTATCCAAATGAGGAGGATAGCTATATATGAATCAAATATATCAGTTAACAAACAAGCAAGTTAGCAACTCTGCTTCTACTGAATCACCTTAAAAATGTTTCACGCAGCTTGGTCTCTGAAATCTGCAATTCATATTGAATGTCCCAAATGGTTTCCCTCATTCAAACATAATACATCAGAATCAGAAATATACTTTGTGAATGAATAAAAGGCAATGGGACAGAAAAAGACTTAAAACTAAAGCAATTGTGTGTGAACAGACTATAAATTACAGTGGATTTCCCATATTAGGATGAATACTCATGACCTTCATCCTTCTGACTGACCTGATGGAGGATATACCATCCCTAGTTGAGCGTTCACCAGTTCTTTCTACTAGGTGAGCTGATAATAAATGTTTAGCTCTTATAATGTGCTTTTTCTTTGAAGAGTTCATAAAAAGTGAGCTAATGAAGAGCTGTCAATGCTCCATTAAATCACCTTAGAAAAATCTGAGATCTAAGTTGGGATAGGAGTTTTATTTCCAATTTTATTGCAATAAAATATGCTGTGCATATGCTACACTTGCATAGCACCCCTTCCTTTCCAAAATACTTCACAAAATCTCTCCCATAATACACATCTATTTTATAACTCACATGCATGGCTCTGTAATGTAATAAATTACATAGAAATTTTATTTACACTTGTTTAGGATGACATAACTATTTATGACAGGTTTCAGAGTAGCAGCCATGTTAGTCTGTATCCGCAAAAAGAACAGGAGTCCTTGTGGCACCTTAGAGACTAACACATTTATTTGGGCATAAGCTTTCGTTGGCTAAAACCCACTTCATCGGATGCATGCAGTGGAAAATACAGTAGGAATATATTATATATATATATATATACACACACACACAGAGAGAGAGAGAACATGAAACAATAGGTGTTACCATACACACTATAATGAGAGTGATCAGTGAAGGCGAGCTATTACCAGCAGGAGAGAAAAAAAACTTTTTGTAGTGATAATCAAAATGGCGCTTTCCAGCAGTTGACAAGAAGGTCTGAGGAACTGGGGGGAGGGAAGGGGGAAATAAACATGGGGAAATAGTTTTACTTTGTGTAATGACCCATCCACTCCCAGTCTTTATTCAAGCCTAATTATTTCAATTGGTATTCTATTGTTTAACAGTGTGATTAAAACTGCAATTAATCGCAATAAATTTTTTAATCTCGGTTAATTTTTTTGAGTTAACCACGTGAGTTAACTGTGATGGACAGCCGTAATTTAAAATATAGTATATTTACAGAATCTCCCATTTA